TCCATAACTAACGACCCTTCTGAGTCGATGAGGTTCCTCCTTTGCTTCCGGTAAACAAACCATGGTTCACTCACATGAATAGCGGCCAATGCGAGTCCAGTAATCGAATCAGTCAAGTCCGGCTCCCATTGGCCGTCTGGCTCGCTCGATTGGTCCACTTGTTCAATCTGTTTTGATACTACCATCACAATGGCCTTTACTTACTCAGGTTTTTACTTATTAACTTATATAAGTGCCAATTGGTTATTCTGAACATAAGTGTCAGAATTTTGAAGTCTACCACCAAGATTGCATCACCTCAACCATCAAATAGCGCCAACTTATTGGCGGACAATATCAAAATGGGTACATGCACGTCAACGCAATCCCGTGCAACGGACATGCTTTTAGATACACTCGTCTGAACACCTTTCATTCAACATAAAGTACGTATGGAGATTCTGCACAGCGCAGTTGCAACTAAGTAATCTGATAGAAATATTAAGCTTTGACTTGTTTTTATGAGAACTATCAACTAAATAACTGTTTATCATACCCCAACAAAGCTAACATCTGTGTTCCACTCCCAATTCAGGCTATATCTACCTTATGAAGCCAAACATGAAAGAAGCTCGTCAAAGGGGGAAGTAATGAAAGAAAGAGGTATCCGAATTCTTTTATTTGAATACGGTCCCAGTAATAGGAATGACAGTGTTTGGTTATAAATTTAATCAAGTTCACAATTGCGATTGCGTGTCACAATCCAATAAACATGCCGCTTGCTCCAAAGCGTGACAATCAAATGCGCTTAGTTCCTTTTACAACCCATCTCTGTTGAAAATTCAGGAAACGAAATGGAACGTCCTTCTGGCATTCTGCTGACCATTATTTCAATCGGATTTGGTGACAGATTTCCATTCGATACATGACGATTTTAAAAACGCGGCGCTGGAGTAAGGTATGCTTGCATTTGACATAATAAATTCCTAACACACATATATTTATATTACACCGTAATCCATACAAGGTAGTTAAAGCACATATAATAAATGTCTGTAACCCCTTCGTAAACTGTTCAACTCTGCATCACAATCTTTCTCATTCTGTGTCATATGAAATGTTTGATAAAGCGAATACTGCACTCAAGGTTTGTAATCGCTCATGAAACCCAACTCAGCTTAACTCGCATAGCTATTCATTAAACGGGTGTTATTGGAATCAGTAATAAATCGCATATTGTAACTAGTGCCTGCATCCTTGTGTACAGAGTTGTCATGCAACCACGCATTGGTAGCATGCAAAAGATGCGTTTTGACATCCATCCAAGACATCCTTCGTTCTTGCTTCTAAGTGAGTACTTTAGCAAAGCGCAACAAGTTTTAACGCACAGAATCGTAAATATTTCCGCGAATGTTGCAGTGTTTAAGGGCTTCAGTTTGCAGTTCTTGCTGTGAATATAAATTTACAAATGTAAAATTATTTAAAGGCATCTGACCTTTTCGGGAAGATGCAATTTCGTTGCATCTGTGCATCGTGTTGATCCATTAATGAACAAAGGCTAATCACAATTAAAATAAAAGGGTGAAAGCACATTTTTCACTAACTATTGGAAATTTAAAGTTAACTCATCAAAAGTGGATTTGTGTGGGTTGCAATCAGTTTAAAGTTAATTAAGAAGGTATGTTTTGACATAATTAAAACATTCTCATATAACGGAATAAAATAACTGAGGCGAATAAGGAGTCAAGAATGTTTTCCAATGTTTTTCATCGGATCCAGGATTTACAAGATGATGTGTACATGCTAAATGTCCCGGATAGGGATGCGTATTGATAAGATTGTTCCCATTTAACGAAAGTGTATTGATAAATCACGCGGATCACTAATGTATTCTGATCCAAACGCTCTTCTTTCGGGCAGGTGGATTCACACTGGACACCAGCACCGAGTAAGCGCACAGAAAGTTTAACGCTACAAAAACAGGGTGTTTTCTGTTAACTTTATCCTCAACTATTTAAATTTGGTAGTCAATACGCAGCCTTATCTGGCACGTCTAGTATCTAATCATAATCACGTAAAGCCTGAGTCTGAAATTTACTGAAATGCACCCATAACTCCATCTGCCTTAATTTCATTCCTTTTATCAAATGGGAATTTTTATACTGTTAAAAATGGCATCCCGTGATTAAAGCAACCATAAAAACAGAAATATATACCCAGTGTATTTCTGATAACCGGTCCACCGTTTAACTGATATAAAATGTTGCAAACAGCACGAATACAGTCCCTTATATTTGTCCAGTTTGTATGCACATGCATAGGACGAGATACAAGTAGTTAGTTGAGTCGATCTGACGAAAAGAGTAAGCGGAATGAGAAGTAAAAGCAAAATCAATGTCGATCAAATTATATCATACCCGGATGTACTTTTCCAATAGCGAACTCTACCCAGAGTAATAAATACAACACGTGAACACATAATTCCACGCAGCTAATTTTAATCGGACAAACTGAAGTGTATGGAGCTGCCATTGACTGAAATTAGAGCTAAAGTTACAAATATTTAAAAATGCACCTCGAAGGTTGGCAGCAGTGGAAATCCCCATCACTTCAGTCACAAATTCTACATGAACATGACGGTATTTTGTCGGTTGTGCATACCTTGTTGCACAGACATGTTTGAGTTAAGAAACAAAAATGTTATATTACTAATCAGGCTATAGGCTACAGGAATAACATCTGTGAGTAAATTGTACGTCACTCCTCTGATTTCATGTTCTATCAATTTTATTGTCCAAGGTAAAATTGAATTGCAACCATCCTTCATTTGATCACAGAGTTGTTCCTGTATGTAAAAGCAAGCTTAAAGTGCCGCAAACGTCTTTAAATGAGCAACAGTAAGAGGACAAGCGTCCAGAAATCCATACACCACAAACAGTAACCTATTTGCCTTACACTATTAAACAAACTGGAAAATTTACCAATGATAATACTACGGTGTAAAGTAGGAGTTTAATAAATACCACAATGAACCTCAGAAATATGCCGCAAACACGAGGCTTAAGTATACCATAAAATTTGATAATTATATATTGCTTCACTAAATTAACGTAAACATTTTATAATGGATTCAAATACGCATACTACTGTCGTAATCATTTACAAGCACCTCAAATTATGAACGACAACCACAGTTTCATTTGACTTGCAAATGAAAGTTAAACGTCTTTGCTGACTGAAATAAACTGGCAACTTCAAAACTGCAGTTTTAACGTGTTTGTTCCTTAGAAATCATCTTTATTTTTTTACGTATTCAAACACCGCCTTCCTCATGTATACGCTCGATTAGCTTCCTGTGCAAAGGTTGCGTTGTTCCGTACTCAAACTTATAGTTATTTAGCTATTGATATCTAGGACTTTTAGCTGAATTTAATCCTTATTTGTAAGTTCCATCTTCATGCGACCTTATTGTCTAACTAATATTTTAAAGATTTTAAAGTTTTTTTTGTTCGTTTCTACTATCTAACAGTTTTAGCTTCCTTTGATAACAAACTAAAGTAACACATATACGAGAGTTGATGAACACTTTCTAGCCTTACTTCATGGTTTAGGGGAATACAAGCTTTTCATAAAGCACGATGTCACTAATGAAAAATAATAAAATGCGCTCCCTGTGTCAACTAACAGAGAAGCAGCTTTTGACTTTGCTATATGGATGTTCAGCAGCCAAGTGATTTATTAATTATGATTGCAACAGCATCTATCCAGTCCCAAAAAAATGTTATTTTGGAAAGATAACACAAAAATATTTCCGCCAAATCAAAAATAGGAATTACAATTTACCGAAGGCAATAGTTCGAATTGATACAAACATTGCAAATTTACTTAGCGATATATTGGATCTCCGATAGAACACATACGTTGCATAAAAGCATAGGCTATTTGAAACAACCTAAACTGATTAAAACATAGGCCGTTCTACTGAAGCGGTAACTCCTCCGGATCATTTTAGGCAATTGGATACACAACCAGCGGAAATGCGTGAGTACTATCTTCGAAATGCAAAATTTGAGACTTAACTCCCACCCACGCATCCAACGTTATCAACAGCCCAAAAGTGCTTCAGATACTAAACTTGTTTCAAGTGATAAAAGATCCCAATAGTTGACATCGGAATATATATCGGCGAGCCTGCTCCTCTTCAGTGGTTCATCCTCAGTCTAATATAACATGAATGAATGATAAAAGAATAAAAATCATATAGGGATACTAGTTCAACTGCTAGGAAGGTATGAGTGACTATGTTAGGCTGTTGGTTAAACAGCTTTCAAGGGTGTGTTTGTGTTGTCCATAACATGTGTGGGTTTTTCGGATGGACCTAGTGCCCCGGACAAATTTCTTCTGTGAACATTGGCTATGGATCAGTGTGATTTCTGAGCAACTCTTTCTAGCTCCTTCGATTTTTCGTCTAGCAGATTTTCACTTTGGCTTATTAAAACGAAACTGACAAAATGACTAAATTGCGTATTTAAAACTACGCTGGACAAACCAACCAGAACTTCGGCTGATCTGAACGTAGCGAGTCTGAGTGAGCGAGACTGATAGGCGGCAATCCCAAGCATCAGTATAGTACCAAAAATGTATCAGCCACTAAAGCAGGTAATCACAATTTAACTGCTTCTTTAAGTGTATATTCATTCATCTGTTAATGCCAATCAACGTAAAGCAGAAGGAACAACTGGAGGCTGTCCTGGTGAGCCCGGGAACATTGTCCAGCTTGATTGTAAAGCAAGATGAATAGAATAATGTGTACGCATTTCGTTGACTCAAACCACCAGCTTAAAGTGCAAGAGGCGTTCCATTCTATCTACTGATACATCTAGGCTGTCGTAGTTACTTTAACACACTTGAAAACAAATGCATAAAGAGCAAGGCAATAGTAATATATCATGTTATTAACTGATTCTTAGTATTTCACGATTAATCAGCAAATAAACTCTCGCTTATACAAGAAAACTTACATTCTGAACCATTGCTTTGTTGTCGTAAGATCTTCACCTGCTGCCACAAATGTTTCATCCAGACCACTTGCGACATTCACCTTCTCATCATGCCACACAAGCTGATTGTGTCGATAGTAAGTACAGCCTGCCGTCAGCCTCGATTTTGCAAGGTGCTCCTGTAGAGGAAGCTCAAATTTTCTGATCCCCTGTGGAAATCTTGCTGCATTTGCCTTATTTTTGTAAATTCTGCATCGGTCAATTTGGAAAGGTTTTGATTCTGTGATTACATGTGTATGAGGTGTTTCCGTTTGGCTGAGATGCTCCAGGGAAAGAAAATGGTAGATTTTAGTGGAACAGTTAGTACGCGAATTCTTGGCACTAGCAGGTACAATAGGAGATTCACTGAATCCTGTTGAGGGTATACTAGCAAGCATTGAATAATCCAGCTCTTGATGTTTGTCCGCACCGTCATGGAAGCTAGGTGTGGAACACATGTGGAAACCATGGAGTGGATCTAGAAATTTAGCATTTCTCTTATCCTCTTCATATCTATTCGTTTCATCCTCCTCGAATGCATCCGAATTGTGCACTTGAAAACCACAGCAACATTGATGATCAGCTGTACTCCAGTTGTTGTTTGGAGCATCCTGGATCAGGTTAAATTCATTGGTAGCACATCCCTGACCAAACGATGTAGATTGTGTAGTGGAAGGAAAATGTGAACGTTCTGGACATCCTCGATATCTATTTGCAATGCTCCCATCTAGATTAAACCACTGAGTTTCACAATGAAGTTTGTTAATCATCCGAGTTTCATTCTCGGGAGACAAAATAGAAACATTTGCAAACGTTGACCGATTAGTGCATCCTGTGTTCAGAAACGCGGTCATTTCAATAAAAATTCACTGCACTACCTGATTATCTGTCACGGTACAAGTGGAATTACATATTGGAAACACCAGTTTCCGTTAGACAGTCAGTAAGGATTGGAGGAATCACTAGTGTACCCTGTGATATTTGTCCAATCAAAAACTTACATGCTGCACATGTCTATCCCTCTGCCCTTGCATGACGTGGAATGGGAGAACGTCGTGATTATTGGTCAGAAGCAAGCAGGAATCAAAAATTCATATGAACCGGTAGTATATATTACGCTTTCCTAACTTCAGCGATGAACATGACTGCATAAGCTATGCACCATATTAAAGGTTGCATGGGTATGAGCGGTTATAAAAGCCGGATGCTAAACGGCTTTCCTTAAGTGCAAATATCGATGAATATTATTGTCAAGCTGTCCATAGCATAAGAAGTGCTTGCTATCTTGAACAGTTTAAGGAATATGCAGCTGTGAGTATATTTCATCATCAAGGTATAAACAGTTTCGTATTCAAGGGATTCGTATTCCACAAATGACCAAAAATCAAAGTTAAGCACGATAAGTGGATAACTTTTATCAATGTATACTCGCCTGGAATGCATGGAATCATTAAATGTGCGAGCTTAATACATATTGTCTGTGGAATGCCGGATGCAGTAAGCGTCGTTTCCCAAATACAGGCAATGTAACTACCTCAAACACCCATCTGTCATGTCATGTATAAATAGCGCCCTGGCCAATACCTGAACTCTTCATAAGTATCCACTGTCCTAGTCAGACTGATAAGCAGCATTAGATAAGTTGGTCTAAATTTATCCGTAGGGTGATTCAGCGAATCCGAATTTCCAATTAAATCTTTATTAAACACCTAACACTTGTTCTAGCCAGAGGACGGTCCAGCTTCCGGGCATGCCAAAAACTAACGATATGGGACCCTCTTATGGGTAATCTAAAGTATATAGCTCATGGCGGGTGATTCGACAATAATATGAATCCACCAGTTATACCAACTCTTTGTGGCTAGCATTCAGATACAGTACAAACCCAACCAGGAAAATGACACCTACCTACTGATTCAAGTCTAAAAAGCGCATGAACAACCACACATCGGCAACCTGACTCATCTGACACAAATTTTCAAACCGCTGTCTACGAGCAGATTTGGTAAAAGCCGTCCTGACATGTTTACCGTTGTCAGACATAATAACATCTAATACCAACATCTTTCCATGAACTGATTTCTGGAGTGCGACACACTGTCACAACCACCTTCCTTCTGGCTTCCAGCCAATCACTGTGCAGCTTGCGTACAATAAACACTCTTTGTTAACCAAACTTAAGGTGGGTCCAGATACGCCATTTTAAGCCCCAATATGTACAAGGCAAAATAAAAGTAGTTGTCTTCTTATCTCGCATCGTCTTTGATGTTCTTAATAGACATTCGTATTTTTTCAATCCTAAAATCTACCTGATACTCATTGTTTTAGTAATCAACACTTCGCATCCTACTAATAATAGAATCCTGGTGCAATGGTGAAGCTTCTAAAATCATGGAATCATTTTGGATACGAAACTATACGTGTTATTTATAGACTACTCAATGTGTGTGATGTGCATATTTTGCATGAAACGCATACAGTAGCAACGTTCTGGTACCCTGTGCAGACTGATGTTGAGCGAGAGATTTGGAACACGACTTAGGTTAATTAGCAGCAGCGGTATACCTATGGCGCCGAATTGCAACGCAAGAGACCTGAAGCCCTGAGAATTGCACTTCACTGCGCCGAAAGCCTACCGTTTTAACACAAGCTTATAATAGGGTATTACAATCCGCCATCGATTACCCAGTTAGTAACAACAAACAATTTTAAAATATAAAAACTTTTATCTAATATTCAAACAAAAAGCTGGTAACAGTCCGTTCACCAACTTGCCAGACATGACAGTACTATAGGTTCCAATATTGTACTGATAATAACTGTTATCTCAATCGCTAATCTGGTGGCGATCATTATGTTATCAAATGTTACTAAGAGCAAGAATGACAGACAAACCATGCTCAGTTAATTGTCATTTGCTAAGTTCCGCAACTTGTTTCAGAACCTGTGCAGTTTCATTAGTTAGGAAAACTGACTTCTATTACTACTAAGTAGGAGGATTTTATTTGTAATGTTTCCGTCCCAGCTGCTCACAATCTACATACCACAGCCTAATCCGGAAACACATCAGACCCGTTTCGCCCTATTGTGGCTCGTCAGTGGTGCGCATTCCATCCGATACCCCCTGGGGATCTAACCCACGACAGCTAGATGCAAATGCCAACTAGCTAGCAGCTCAAGCCACTGAGCCATGGAGGACTTCGGCTGGGCTACAAAATTTGCAAGCTAACTGGGATATAGCACGACTTATCTTCCACTGCCACGCAGGTAAGTACCTTGGCAGATGGCAGTGGATAGCCTCCTACTTAATATATGACTTAGCCTCTCCTAGTTTCAAATGCTATGGATATAGCGTCTATTGAGAGGAAGTCATGACCTTCGGAGGCTATCCACTGTCATCTGCCAAGGTACTAACCTGCGTGGCAGTGGAAGATAGGTCGTGCTATATCCCAGTTAGCTTGCAAATTGTGTAGCCCAGCCGACGTCCCCCATGGCTCAGTGGCTTGAGCTGCTAGCTAGTTGGCATTTGCATCTAGCTGTCGTGGGTTATATCCCCAGTGCGTATCCGATGGAATGCGCACCCCTGACAAGCCACAGTAGGGCGAAACGGGTCTGATGCTTTTCCGGACTAGGCTGTGCTATGTAGATTGTGTGCAGCTGGGACGAAAACATCACAATTAAAATTGTTTTCTATCTATATACCCTTAACTGGTAGTGGATTTATCCCAGAACATAATTGTCTTCCACATCAAAACATCAGTGCCATTCTAACAAAGCATAACACTGACCGTAACATGTTGAATAATGTAAGCAGCCCTCATAGTTTTGTGAAACATTTCTGCCTAACTACACAACTGGAGTGCTAGTGCTCTTATGTTCAATGATTGTCGAAGGACGCTTGCATCATAATATAAAAATGATCATTCCGTTATACTATAATGTTTTAAACAGTTTTACTAATCTATCTGAACTATCTAAATCATTTCGCTTCCCCAGGTTTGTGGTGCGGTACCTGATGTAACAAGCTTTGGTGCACCACATGTTATTTGCAAGGCTGTCGGTGCATTTTGCGACGAATCAATGGTGATAAATCATTGAAAGCCCAATTGTTGTTACCAGTGAACTTCTATGAACGTTACGATACCTTAGTGCCAAAATCTTTTTAGCAAGCCTCTAAGTTTTCTGATGTGACTTGCGCAGCACCGAAAATAAGCACTACTTATTTGTAGAAAGTAGAAGTCACGATTAAAATTCACGCACAATAATGTGCCTCGACGGGGAATCGAACCCCGATCCACGAATTTCCCGTTCGCTGCTCTACCACTGAGCTACCGGTAGCTACCGGTAGCGTGAATTTTAATCGTGACTTCTACTTTCTACAAACTTTACATTACTCACAAACATCCAAAATCACTCCTTGTTTATTACGAGGAAGCAGGAATTTCTTTGCTTTGCTTTCGTTTAAAAGCCTTGCACTCTCATTTAACAGCAGATTACCTCAAATTTAACAAAAGAAGTTTGTTGTTAACCAGTGACAAATATCTACTTAGAGGTTAAATAATTTTGCCGATCAGCCACGCACCTACCAGATCTGAAAAATGGAAACAATAGTTAAATAGGAATTGCACGTCTATTTGAATAAGGACAACATCAGGAGTAAATCACAGTACGGTAGCCTAAAGCACGATTCTGCACAACGTGCCAGAGGAGCATAGTAAGTCACTAAGTGTGTCATGTAAAAATGAAATGTTGCTAGGTACTTTTAAAACATAAAATGACCTGGAAATAATGCGTTTGTGGTGATTACATCAAATTTTTAAGTTTAGGCGCATTAAAGGGACCAAATCGTTCTTAACTATCCTTATAGATTCTTTACGTACACAGGTTATAACTTGCTGTCATAGTTGGCAAGTTAGGAATGACCACTTTTATGTCCATAAGGTTTCGTCTTGCGAAAAATCATGATCCAATTAACTAACTAAATTGTCGACTGCAAAAAGGCGCGAGGAACTGTCCAATTAAACGATTGGATCAAGTTATACAAAGATGTCACAGAATATACCTAATCGCCCAATTTTTATAAAAGAGAGCCCAAACAAAAATATTTTAGAAGCGCTTGGCAGTTTTAAATTATTAGACTTATTAAGAAATTGGGGAACAACGACAAACGCATATATAAATAAAGGTTGAGGGAAAGTAATATGGCCATCCATGGAATTGTCGCCAAGCGACCTGCTACATTTCAGGGTATTTCCTCGAATCTATCACCTGCGCTTCCATGCTCCAACTAGCTGTGTGCATGTGTGGCAAATTATCAATTACACCGTCACCTGTTTACATATTTCAAGGCTGTTTTTAGCATCCGGTTGATCAAGTCACCGATCCCGTTTATCATTCGTCAATTTTGTGCAAGAGTTTTTTATATCATAATAATGAGAATGCACTTTGGATCACAGTCAATAGCACCAGTGAGTCAGGGGCAACATTCCGCGCATGGGTATAATCTTCTAATTCTGGAATCTCTAATTCCCCAGCAGTGGAAAAAATAAGAAAATAAAAATGGGCTTAAATTATAAAAGTGATTACTTCGTATTAACCATTACTTTGAGATGGGTCAATAGGAAGTTGGCCGCAAAAATTGTTGCCTAGCGACGAAAATATAGAAATTTTGAGGGAAAGCATTTTGCACCCCAGCCAAGGATTTGTAAAGAATGCAGTATAGTACACGTTATCCAAATAACTTATATAGCGCCTCAGCAATCAGGTGTTTCATCCTAATATGCGACCAATGGAAGCCTTTAGAATGAGAAAAGGGGCAGATAATCGCAAAGAACCAATATCCCTTCGCTCAGGA